TTTTTTTCTTGTTGCTATTTTCCTCTAGGCGGGGAGGGGCAAAAACAGATAGCGAGAAACAGAGTAGCCATGAGCAAAAATGGCAATGGACAAAAAAATAGAGATTAAATATCTTTTAAGAGAGCCAGTTTTCGAGGTTGAGCTACGGAAGACAGAGCTGCAGATCAAATTGATCAGACAAGTGTAACGCTCAAAACGAGGAATTAATACTACTACTAATAATTAAAAAATAAGTAGCAGGTTTAAATTAAGGTGGAGGGTGATTTAAGTCTAGCTATCTTTTCAAAAATAAAACCAATGCATAAAGGATCAAGTGAGAAAGGGGGTTATTAAAAAAAAAAAAAAGGCAAAGAAAAAAAAAAGGCAGCTTTTCTATCCAGTGTGAAGAGCAGAAAGTCTACTTCTAGGTTGTCACTTACACTATTATTCTCCAATAGGCACCCAGAGGAGCAGCACACACAGAAGGAGCCCGCTCCCCTCCCCCTCCGCAAAAATATACACCGTAACAGCCCCCAAACTTTCTGCGGAAACCTCAGCCCCAGAGATCGCTACTGGAGATAAAAGGGGGGTTAAAAAAAAAAAAAAAAAAAAAAAGAAAGAAAAGAAAAAAAAAAAGTGGAGAGAAAATTGCAGGAAAAGGCACTAAAATGCCACTTTTAATCTCGCCTTTGCGGTCCGGGGAGGAAAAAAAAAAAAAAGCAAAAAAAAAAAAAAAAAAAAAAAGCAGAGAGGACCTGTCTCCTCTCATTTACCGGGGGCTGTTGTGCGAGTGAGGGGGGGAGAGAGGGAGCGAGAGAGGAGGGGAGAGCGAAAAAGAACAGAGGGGAGGAAGGAAACACACAACAAGGCACACCACCACCACTACAAAAAAGTGACGAGGTTTCACTCCCTCCAAGTCCAACACCGGGAGAAATTAGAATTTAAAAAAAAACTCGATCCTATTAGGAAAAAAAAAAAAAAAAAAAAGGAAAGAAAATAGGAAAAAAAACAACAACAAAAAACTGGTTCTGCTTCTGCAAAGAAAAAAAAAAAGAAAATCTAGGAACTCCGAGAAGAGTTACTCGCAAGAAGGGGTAAAAAATATAAAATAGAAAGGTTGCAAAAAGCCAACAACAACAAAAACCAAGCCAGCAAAAAAACCCCCAGTAATAATTGAAAAATAATAATAATGGTAGGCTTTGTATTTTGTATTTTTTTTTTTTTTTAATTCTCGTTTCCCCTGGCTGGCTGGGTATGGTTGTTATTTAGGCCGGTTTGGTGGTTGTTGCTGGATGTTACATGGATATGTGTGTGTGTATGTGTGTGTGTCCCCGGACGGAGCTGCCTCGCTCTTCTCTGCTCTCCCCCCCCCCCCTTCCTCTCTCTCTCCCTCTCTCTGTTTCTGTCCCCATTAAATTATTAGTTGACTCATCACTACTCCTCCTCCTCCTGCTGCTGCCGCCGCCGTCCCCTGCTCACAGCCTCCTCTCCTCCTCTCCGCTACCGCTCGCTGCCGCTGCTGCCGCTGCTTCTTCTTCCTCCTCCTCATTTTAATACAAAATAACACCGAGGCCACCGGCTTTTTTTTTTTTTTTTTTTTTTTTTTTTTTTTTCACAGCCAGAGACGGGAGGAGGACGCAGCCTCCGTGCCCGGAGCCCTTCCCCAGCGGCCCCGGATCATCCGACGCGTCCTGGGAGAGAGAGAGAAAGTGGCAGAGGAGGAGGAGGAGGATGAGGAGGAGGAGGTGGTGGTGGTGGTGAAGCAGAGAGGCGTGGGGGAGGGGAGGCCGGGGAAGGGGGAGGGGGGTCGGCAGAAGTGCGGTGGCAGAGGGGACCGCAGCGAGGAGCGGGGAGGGGGCGCCGGGCCGGGCCAGGCCGGGCCGGGGGGGGGCGGCCGCCGGCGGCGGGAGGTGAGCGGGGGGGCCGGGGGAAGAGGGCGTGCGGCTTCCGGGCGCGCACGAATTTGCAGCTCGCTGGGTGCGGGTGAGGCGGCCCTGCCTGCGCCGCGCACAATGCCCGCTCCGCGCCGCCCCGCTCCGCGCCACAGCGCGCCCCCCCGGCAGATGGGGCCTGCGGCGGAGGGGGCGAGCCGGGGGGGACGGGCACGGGGGCACAGCAGCAGCACCAGCAGCGGGAGGAGAAGGAGGAGGAAGAGGGGCGGGGGTGAAGCCTGAACAATATCCTGCCGGCGCTGCCGGGTGCGCCGTGCTAGCGCAGCCCCCGCCCCTCCGCGCGGAGCCTGCGCGGGCCGCGCCGGGCAGGTGCACGGCGGCGGCGGCGGCCTCGCAGGTGGGGGCGCGCCGTGGGGGCCGCCCCGGGGAACCAGCGGCCCGCGTGGGGGAAAGAAGTTTCTCCTTCCGTCCCCTTGCCGTCGATACCGACAGGGGTGAAAGAAAAGCACCACCACGGTTCTGAAAGGCGGCCGAGGCTGGGTGAAACCGGCCCCGTTCCGCGGAGGGCATCATCCACCGCGGCTCTGGCGGCTCCGGTGGGGGCCGCGGCCAACCAGAGCAAGCTGCAACACATCGTGGGTGAGAGCGATACATCGCTCCGGGCTCGGGACGGCGACGTGCCACATCCCCACGCCACAAACCTGTCCCTGTGTCGAGTCCGCAGCGCGGGACCGAAAGCCACCCCTGAAAGGTGAAAGCTAAAAGGTGGTAAAGTATTGACAAAATAAGTAACTGCGAGACAGACGTAGCTTTTTCCCATCATGCACTTGGAAGAAAGTAACCCAACTAGCCAAACTTGAAAGCAACAAGTTTGTACAAGCTGCGAGATAAGCGAAAAATTAAACTTCTTTATTGATAAAATGCATGGTGTTTGAATAGACTGTGTCTGAAGGGAAAGTTGCATCATCGACCAAAGAAAACGTGAATTACTGCATGGACAAGTATATAACCAAAATGTTTAGGGCAGTAACTTTAAAACAACTGACAGCGAAACAACAACAAAAGCAATACAAACATGAGGCAGCAGCAAAAGTAGGTGAGTGAGAAGGCCAATACCAGTCCTGTAATACTTAAAATAATATGGCCTCTGAACACAGAAGGGGCAAATCATTAAATCTATAAAGAAATTTTTTTTCACTATGCATATATTACTTATTATTAAAGAAGTGGAATACATCGAGACAAGGTAAAGAATCACATTGATGTTTACTAAAATAAACGCAAATAGCATATAGGACATGCAGGAAAAAGAAAATGGTAATAGGGCAAAATGCATGAAATATTTATATTCTGCAGTGCATAAAATAGATTATAATCTCAGAAGCAAAGAAATGCAAGGCTGGAAAATGAATACACTGTTACATAATACTATTATTCAAAGCAGAGCAAGTGGAGGTGGCATATGTATGAAACATGAAAAGTTGTACCTATGTTGCGTGTCTTGAAAAGGGTTACTAAGATCATTACCGAGACTGCTGAGAAGGAAAAATAAAACCCCAAACCAAAGAAACATGTTTCACAAAGAAAAACAAGGGAAAATGTAGATGACATCTTCCATAACATATAATCAAGGGGGTAACTGTCTAGTGGGTTGTTTGTTTAGAAACCAATCTTTTTTCAACAAGATAGAGTATCAATCAGTCCCTCTTAAATACATATATATATATATTTCCCAATACATTTGAATACTTGGAAGAAAACTGTGTTAACTAGTTGAATTCAAACTTTGTGGGCACAATGGAAAATGTCAATGCTTTATTTTTTCAATCTTTTCAGAAAAAGCTTGATAAGGTATTAAACTTCAGCAGTAAGCAAGACTGGCCACTAAAGAAGAAAATTATGAAGGATGTGAGTTTCAGCTGGCAGTATGCAGCATGATGGAGGAAAAGGACGTTGAAGATAATTTAAGAGATGCAGAGCTGATTAGAATAGAGCAAATATGATCTGGAACAAGATTTGGGACTAAAATACCACCTTATAAAAATTATTACCAGATATGACAATAAGAAAAACAAATAAAAGCAACAAAAGATTAAAATCTTCTAAAATAACTTTTGCTTTGGTGTTCACAAATCATTCTGTTCATGGTAAAAAAAAAAAGCAACAAAATGTTTGGATTAAAATAAAGTGATTAATCTAAAAAGCAGAGATGGTGAATTAAAGGAGCAGGGAGATAACAATCTGATAATACAGGAGCACAGAAGGCCTAATAATGATATTATTACGCACACTAACCAAACATTGACAAACAAATATTCTGTTAATTATATAATAATGCATATGTTTCCCATGCTTGAGATAAATGATTATGGAAAAGAACTCTCTTCTTGAAATTGCATATATGCACTAAACCTTATAAACTCCCTACAACATGGATTAATCTAATTCCCATACACCACTTATGTCTGGTAAAGTATTTACTACAGACTTGGAAAGCAGAGCGTGGAACCCTTGCTTTGACTAGAAAACACGAATTACTGAAGGCTGCTACGTCTTGACAGATAGACAACAATCAGATATCTCTTATCAATACCGAACTACTTGGAAATAATTCAAGATACAGATATCTGATTTTCATTTGACCTATTCCAATTTGCACTTCACTGTGTCAACTTTGATATTAAAATGTTCAGCTGGAATAAAGATATTTATAATAAAAACATATATAAAGAACAGAAGATGAGTAGATATTGTCATGGATACATATGCAGGCAATCGTTTAAACATGCGGCAATAGTAACATCACATTTTTCATAGCTTCTAGTCAACATACAGCAGGCAAATATATGCTTAATAAAGGTTATTAATCCTTAATAAAGTTGTTGCACTGTTTTTATTATATATAAATGCATTTTGCCCTAGCTTATGTTGAAATAAAACAAATATTTAAAAAGTTGGGCTGCATATTTTCAACCCCATGGTGAATTAACTCTCAAGCAGCAGTCTCAGTAGCTGCAAAGCAAAACAAATTCTCCAGTGTGGCAT